TCAGTTCCTTGAGCTTAAGAAATGTTGAGCGAGTTCAGCCCTTTTGATTTTCTGATTCCAACTCTTTGCACATTTCATTGTAATATTTTATTTGTCATCCTGTGCTGCCTTTTGAAATCTTCTACTCAACTCTTTAGTATCTTGAATTCTTCCTTGTGCTTTAGCTTCTCTGCGCTCCAGTGCAATTTTCAGAATCTCTTCTAACATCCATTTTGGTCTTCTCTTCCTCTTCTGTCTTTGCAATGACCATCTGCACTCTTCCTGAATGATACCCTTGATATCCTCCCACAACTCGTCTGGTCTTTGCTCATTAGTGTTCAAGGTCTCAAACCTATTCCTGAGGTGGTTCTGAAATTCAAGTGGGATGAACTCAAAGTCATACTTTGGTTCGCATGGATTTGGTTTAATTTTCCTCAACTTCAGCTTGAACTTGCATATGAGTAGTTGGTGGTCTGTTCCCCATCAACAAACGAATGGCTAGAGAAGCTGTGGTATATTCACACAATGGAATACTATGCTGCACTGAAAAACAAGGAACTCATGCAATATTATTCCAAATGGGGGATCCCGGAGGACATTATGCTGAGTGAAATATCTCAGTCACAAAAGGATAAATACTGTATAGTGCCACTGTTGTAAAACAGGACTGACATCAGGGTTAGGAAGAGACTGAGAAAGATGGGATAATGTACACTGCATTTAAACAGATAAAGGAGAAAACTGTTTAAAAGGGATATGTAATTACTGTCATGACAGGAGTCCAGAACGAAGGCTGCATAGTGCAGTGGACCTGGGGGAAGGGATTGTAAAACAATGAAAAAATTTTTACTTTACTTTTCAAAGAGAAGAGTGTACTGGGGGGAGGGGTGGGTAGGGAGAAAAGTGCAACAATAAATGAATGGAAATCCAAAGTCTCTGTAACATTTCATTGAAATTAATAATAAAAAATGACAGACAAAAAAAAAGATATAGTTTGATGACAGTTGAGTAGGTAATAGATACTTCCGTTACCTAAAATCATGACATCTCAAAATTGATTTTATGGAATGCAATTCTATATGCTCAAGAGCAGAACACTCTCTATTAAATTCCTGACAAATGGGCATCAGACTTTTACTATAAGATGAAATTCCCATTCTCCCAAGGCAAACTATCCAACTGATAAATTCTTTTCACATAAAAATAAAAGCAATCTGCAACAGATTGTCACTAGCATTAATACTACAGTAACTATAAGCTATATCCCAGAGAATTGTCCTTGGGTGTTAACCAAAATTAAACAGTAAGTAAATGAGGTGATTTTTTTTTTAAATTATATAACATCATCATTAATTTCACATGCAAGAAAAATTGTGATAAAGATCATCTAAAAATGGCTAGGAAAGAGAACTTCCAGAAACTGGGCTTAGAAGAGGCTGCAGCACCAAAAATATCACTGTTGATGTCAGATGGATACTGGCTGAAAGCAGAGAATAGCAGAAGAATGTCTATTTGTGCTTTATTGACTATGCAAAGGCATTTGACTGTATGGCCCAAAACAAATTATAGCTACCACCATGAAGAATGGGAATACCATGGAGAACAATACCTAGGCCAAGAAGCTGCTGTCCAGAGTAAAGAAACCATGTTGCTGTTGTTGTTGTTGTTGTTATGTGCCTTCAAGTTGTCAAGTCGCTTGCAACTCATTTACAATAGCCATGAAACCTGCTCTATCACAGTTTAAAATTAAGAAAGTGTGTATCAGGACTGTATCCTTTCTCCATACCTATTGAATTTCTACACTGAACAAATCATTTGAGATCCTGGACTCTATAAAGAAGAATACAGTATCAGGATCAGAGAACAACCTGCATTACGCAGATGACACAATCTTACTTGCTGAAAGATAAGACTTGAAGTACTTGCTGCAGAAAATGAAAACCACAACCTTCAATATGGATTACATGTCAACATTAAGAAAACAAAAATTCTTACAACTGGACTGATGGGTAACATTACGGCAGACAGAGAAGACTGTCAATGATTTCACTTGACTTGGTTCCACATCAACAACCCTGTCTGGAGTCTGTTATTCAAAATGTCTTTCCTAGCCACTGAATTGGACTTTGCCTTGTGAGTGTGTGGGAATATGCAAACAGGGCATGTTAGCCTATCTACAAGGGAATTGGCTATTTTCACCATCCATAAGGGATTGGCTAATTTTGCCATTATATTGAGCAGATCCAACAGAAAAAGAAAATAAGACCTCACCACCAGCAAAGAAGAGCAAGCAAGAGAATGTAACTCATAATTCAAGACCAGAGCAATAGCCATTGCTGCCACAGAGAACCAGAGACCTGCCCTGAGATGGAGCAGACCTTGGGACTGCTATCCCCCACCCCTAAACCCTGCCCTTCAAGGACAGAACCAGAGCTAAGCCAAGAGCCTGTGCCAAAGTTTGTTGGACAACTTTAAGGGGAAGGATGAGACCATTATTAGCAAGACTGAGGACTTTGTAACACTGGCCTAAAGCCGTGAGGTTTAAGGCTGAGACACCTGTGATCACATTTCAGAAGCAGTCCTGACTATATTCTGTAATCTACAGTATAATCCTACTAACCTGGATTATAACCTTTTGAGTTCCCAACATGATTCTGTGTGGTCTGTGACCTATCACATTGGATTTTGGACCCAGTAAAGCAGTAAGATTAGTGTTGAGACGAGTTGAAAGAGTTATGGGAGTGTGGGGACATGTCTGACCTCATAGGTATTACTTCTGGGTTGCTGATGTTGTTGCCGAGGCACCTCCCTTTTGTGACTTGGTAAAGGTCAGATATAACTATCTCCACATGGCATTTGCTCTTTTTATACCTTGGTACAGCAGTCAAGAGATCAGGAGATGTAATTGCACTGAGGAAGTCCGTAATCGGGGACCTCTCCAAATTATCTAGGAGAAATGATGTCAGTTAAGATCTAAAGTGCACCTGATTCAGTCATTTGTTATGCATCTGAATGCTAGACAATAACTAAGGATGACAGAAGAACTGATGCCTTTGAACTGTGGTGTTGGAGAAGAGCACTGAATATCCTATGGACGGCCAAAAAAACCCCAACATCTATGTCTTGGAGAAGGTGCAGTCAGAGTGCTTCTTGGAGACAAGGAAGCTGATGCTTTGTCTCAAATACTTTGGACATGTTGCTAGGAGAGGTTATTCCTTGGAGAGGGACATCATGCTTGGGAAGTTGAAGGGGTGGAGAAGTAGAGGTAGATCCTCAACCAGGTGGGGTGACACAGTGATTGCAGCAATGGGCTTGAATATGTCAGATTGTGAGGATGCTACAGGACAGAACAGTGTTCAGCCTGGTTGCTCAAAGGGTTGCTATAAGTCATACTTGACTCAAGGCACCTAACAATAACAACAACAATCCTTTAGGGAATTTAGGAAATGCTGGTGGCTTAGTCCCTAGCAAGGCGCACTGTTAGCCTAAAGGTCAAGCATCCCCACTGAATGGATATCACCCGCAGCTCCATGGGAGAAAGATAGGCCATTTCCTCCTATTATAATTTCAGCTTTGGAAACCCAGTGGTGGGTCAGCTGTGAGTCAGAACTGACAAGGTGGCTGTGAGTCTGAATTTTCTAGAAGGAACATTCAGTCACCAAGATGTTAAAACACTGCTTTTCACATGACAACAGTGTAGTAAGTGTTCAACCTTTTTTGTTTTGAAAAAATGGTACATACACCTATCAAAAATTTACTTACTTAGAATGTTGCAGTTTCTCTTCTATTAATGGAAGAACAGCTGGAATCATTTCTCGAGGAAAGATCTGGCTGACGATAGTAAGCGCCATACATACTTCTACCAAATTAGTACTCTGTAAATCCTGATACAATTATTAAGCAAAGAAAACATTCAGTGTAAATTTTTAAATCAAGGATGGTGAGTTCAACAATTAAATGATCCTATATACTTAGTAATGTTCTACTAACTTAATTTGTACATTCATGTGTATTTGCATATTTTTACAAGAATGTCCTTATTTCCTTCATTTGTCATTAAATAAAAAGTCAACAAATAAAAAAATTTAAAAATAAAAAGTCAACAAATAGAAAAAAAGACATAAAAGGAAAGTATAGTTTTGTTCTGATTAGTTTCCTTTATTATAACTTTAAGACTTATAAACCAAAGATAAAAGAAGTTTTGTACATTTTTCTTGTTATTTAGCAATAGTAAATGGAAGTTAAAAAGTAATTCCAAAATATGTACAATAAAATGCAAGCACTATTTGGACAAGAACAAACTGGGAGGAGGGTAGAGAGAATAGTGCAACAATGAATGAGTGGAAGCCCAAAATCTCTGTAAATGTTTATGAAAATTAATAAAATATAATTATAGAAAAAAAAATGCAAGCACTCATGTATATGTAGATACATGTAGTATATAAATCATTTGAACAGATTTGAAAACATGTGTTTCAAAGCTCAGAAAAAACCTTAAGCTCCTAAGTAGGATATTGACTTAAAAATCAGAAAATATTCTGTAGGCATTCTTCATTTTATCGTGCTGTAATTTATTGCTCCTCACAGAGAATGCATTTTTCACAAATTCAAAGTCTGTGGCAGCCCTGTGTTAAGTCCATCAGTGCCTTTTCCCAACAACAGAGGCTCACTCTATAGCTGTGAAACATTCTAGTAATTTTCACGGTATCATAAATGTTTTCCTAATGCTACTGCACACTTAATTGACAACAACATAGGTTAAACTTAACTTTTAAACACACTGGGAAATAAAACAATCATTTGCCTTGCTTCACTGTACTAGAACCCTGGCTACGTATCTCCAAGGTGTCCCCGTTCTAGTCTACGTACTCTATTACACACTACACTATACCACACATTTACACAGTGCTCAAAAGACCGCTGAAGATGAACAAGAAAAGCTTAACCATTTGATTCTATCTCATAATCAATTTCATGAAAAGTTTAGCAGAAGAAATACCGTCAAATGTGTATTAAATTGTTTTTATTAATTGTACATTTCACCCACTCTATTGTCCTCTAAAATAACTTTTTAAAATTTAAAGACTTTTTTTCACTCTAAAAAGGATCAAAGCAGAAGATTCCAGCTAGAATAGGCGAAACTATGGAATAAAACTTAAAAGCATAAAAATGGAGCCTTAGCCATTCCACTAATTGCCCTTAGTCCCCCATGCGCCTGGAACAAAACTCAACCCTGTGACTCAACACGGTGAACAATAACGTCAACAAGACGCTTGCTCCTTACAACAATCAATCACAGAAGAGCAAAGGGCAGCATCTGCCCACAGATAAAGCTCAAAAGGCAGGGAAGAGGGAGGACAGAAAAATTAATGGAAATGAGAATCACAGAGAATTAGTAGGAAGAGCATGGCTACCTCGTGGGCAGAGAAATTAATGTCATAAAACAAGATGCACATGAATGGTTGAATGAAAAACTAGTTTTCTTCGTAAATTTTCACTCAAGTCACAAGAAAAAAGAAATTTGAGATTTTAATAATTCCTTTTAATTATCACATTAGAACAGATCCTAGAGGAAACAGACAAAAGCATGGCCTGATGGAAAAGCACACCTGAAATTCTGGGTTATACAATTCCATTTTATTAAATGAAGTATTCATAAATAACAACAGTAATAACTAAAACAGCTACCACTTGAACAATCATTCAATTAACCTTCAAAACTCTGTCAGACGGGTTCTAGTATCATCTCTTCCTTATGTATACAGAAATTAATCTAAAAGTTCTAACTCAACCTTCTCCCAAAACAATTGTTTACCTCCATTATGATTGTGGAGAAATATTCTTGTCTACTGGAATAATTTAATCTTAATATAACTAGCATATAACACAGTACCTTTACAACTGTATTCACAAGGAGAAGCAACAGTTCATGATTTTCATGCAGGAATAAAGAAACTGCCAAATAACCTATAAAAATGAAGGGCAAAGTTTCATTAATGTCTATAAAAAAACACCTTGTCATTAGAAATTACATAAATAAAACATTACATATTTTTAAATATCAAAGATCATTTAAGTCTCAACAGTATATGTAGGCATATGAAAAAAGCTTTATCAAAGGCAAATATTGACAAACTGCAAAATAGGAAATTTAAAAAATCATTAAGATTTCAGATGTTCTTCATCTTGAAGTCTCTCAGAATTATACATTCTGAAGTGACAAAAAGCATTGTGTACCAACTTAAAAAACCAAAAACCAAACTCCGTACCATTAAGTCAGCTCCAAGTCACAGTGACCCAGGGAGCAGAACTGCCCTTAGCGTTTCCAAGGCTATATATAAATCTTTACAGAAGCAAACTGTTTTATCTTTCCCTCTCACAGAAGCTGGTGGGTTCAAACCACTGACCTTTTAGTTAGCGGACTTATTCAACCACAGCATCACCAGGGCTCCTTACCAATTTACACCAAAGAACAAAGCCAAAGCTGTTGAGTTGGTTCAAGTGCACTTCCACTGGGTTTCTAAAACTGCAAATCTTCACAAAAGAAGACTGTCCCCTTTCTCTTCTGTAGTCATACTGCTTACCTTACTGGCCCAATATGTTATATGTTAAACCACCTGGTGGCTTAGTGGTAAGGAACTGAGCTGCCAACACAAAGGTACATGGTTCAAATTCATGAGCTATTCCATGAGAGAACGATGGACTAACTTTTCTTGTACAATTCACTGCCTTTGAAAGCCTGCTGAATGGTCAGCTAAGGCAAGTTCCAACTCAATGACACATAACATTACCACCACCAGGGCTCTTTACCAACTCATTAGAAGTCTTTAAACTTTCTGTGTAAATGTCCACACTGTCAATTACAGTATTCTCTTTTTATATCCAAACATTTAATTATTACAAAAAGCAAGTAGTCGCTCTTATATTTATCAGTAATTTGCTCTCTATTGGTATTACTGAGTAAGCTGCCCAATCAATGAAAGCTATGCATTTACCCATAAAAAGAGATCTCATTTTCTCAATTTGAAGATTCACTTTAAACAAATGCCTCTTTAAGAAACAATGTTATGAAGGCTAACACAAAACATACTAAGAAGTAGATATTACTTAATTACATTAATCAATTGTAATAAAATAAAATGTGTGAATGACTAAAGAAAAACCAGTGTTATGTCACCTAGCACTCAAATTAAAACTAAAACACTGTTTAGTCCCCTAGAGTACTGACTTTAACATGAATAAGTTATCTCATTATTATATCAATACTAAAAAGTCAGCTTAGAACTGAAGGAATTCTTCAATATCATGGCAAATACCATGTACCAGCAGCCCTCAATTTAAGATGAATGACATTTAGGGCCATTTTCCCCTCCTCTGCTTTGGTACATTTTAACATCATTATGCTCATGTAATGTTGTACTGAATAATCTGCAGATGTTATTATTCTCGAGGTAATCCCCAAAGAGAAAATAAAGTTCAAATTTATAAAAACATTGGTAACAAGAGGCAATAATAACAAAAATAAGCAAAATTTAAAAGTTAGATTTATATTAGAACTGATAACAGATATCGGAACAGAACTTCATATGTCAGCAACTACCTGTACAGTCTAGACTCTTTGTGCCTTTTTCTGTCATCTTTAATACTGACAATAATGACAATTTCTTAAGGCAGTTGTTGTTGTTGTTGTTGTTAAGGTGTCATGGAGCCGACTGTGACTCACAGTGACCCTATGTACAATAGCTCTAAACCTTGCCCTAGCCAATCTCACTGTCTCCAACACAACCACCTCCATTACCCCAGTGACTGAGTCAATCCATCTCATCCAGGGTCTTCCCCTCATGCACTGTCCCTGCACCCCTCCAATCATGTCCTTTATGATCAGCTACATTAAAGTATTCACATAAAGTTCACTCATTTAAGTACACAACACAATTATTTTCTCAAATACATGTATCATTATGTAGAACAACTACTTTTTTTATTTTCTACATAACTCTAAAATGTCATGAATTAAGAAAACTCATTTTATTTTGTAGCTTTTGAATTTCTGAAGTATTATTCTAAAGCTTTAAAAGACACTGCAGGTGTTCTAAAAAAAGTACCATGTATCCAGGCTCATTAATTTTATACAATAGTTGAAATTCTAAAAACAATATTAAAATATGAAAGTCTTAATCCCATACCTACCTACTCTCTTTTCAAAGAGGTTTCCTTGTTGTGCCAACTTGATAGCATGTATATAGCCAAAGGAAGCATCATATCCAAGCATTTCACAATATACAAGTCTTACCATACATTCCTTCATCATTTTCTAAAAAGCAAAACACGTAAAGATTGTATAAATAGAAAGTTTTTGTTTTGGGTTGTTTTTTTTTTTAATTTACTGAGAATCTTTTAGTCCTGCCACTGAAGAAATATCTGGACATATTACAATCCCCCATGGGAGATGTTTATATACTGCATGCTACTTACTCCCCAACCAACAGTATTAAATTCAGAAAATTATTTCATTGGTAATTATTTTGATAGTGGCAACATTACAAAATAATTCAAACATAGTTATTTTTAGTATTATATATCCAAGCTATACACTTTTATTATTACGTGTATTACATAATCCTGAGAAAAAAATTTAATCCATAGTCATTTTACTTGGCTTCTAAAAGGAGATACCCACTTCTGAAACACTGTGCCAAATGAAAACATTCACAGGACTCCTACAAGTTGGTGACAATATCTGCACAAGAAACATTTTTCACATTTAAAAAGCAAATGAACTTTCTTCATATGTTGCTGTTGTTATATGCCATCAAGTCACCTGCGACTCACAGCAACCCTATGTACAATAGCTCTGAAGCCTGCCTTATCCTGATTCGGTCTCACTGGCTCTGATACACCTACCTCCATTGCCCTAGTTACTCTATCAATCCATTTCATCTGGGGTTTTCCTCTCCAGGACTGTCCCTCTACCCTTTCGAGCATGATGTCCTTCTCCAGGGATTGGTCCCTCTTGGCCACGTGCCCAAAGTTATGTGAGACAAAGTTTCAAAATCCTAGCCTTCAAGGAGAAACTTGGTTTCACCCTCTCCACGACAGACCTATTTGTTTTCTCAGTGGCTCATGATGGTTCAAGACTCTTCTCCAGCACCATAGCTCAAAGGCGTCAATTCTCCTTCTATTATCCCTAGTCATCGTCCAGCAATAATGCATAGCATGTAATTACAAAGATCATGGCCTGGATTAGGCACACTTTAGTCTCCAGACTGACACTGCTGCTCTTCAGTATTCTGGGTCCTGAGAGCAGACTTTCCCAGTGCAATTCGTTTTTTGGTTTCCTGACTGCTGGTACCAAGAGTGTTGATTGTGGAGCCAAACAAACTAAAGCAGTTAACAATCTACTCTCTTCACCTTCTATCATGATGCTGTCAGTGGGCCCAGTGGCAAGTCTTTCTTTCTTGATGCTGAGCTTCAATCCATATTGAAGGCTGCAGTCCTTGACCCTCTGCAGCAAGAGCTTCAGGACCTCCTCAGTTTAAGCAAGCAGGGTTGTGTCATATGCATAACTCAGTTTGTTGATGAGTCTTCCTCCAATCCGGATGCCATATTCCTCATCATAGAACCCAGCCTCCCAGATGATCTGTTCTGCATATAGATTGAAAAGGTATGGAGAGAGGACACACTCCTGATATACACCTTTCCCAGTTTTGAACCTTCACCTGTTCTGACGAATGCCTCCATGTCCAAGTATACGTTTCACATAAGCACAATCAAATGTTCTGGGATTACTATTCTCCACAGAGTCGGCCACAGTTTGTTGTGATCTACACAGTTAAATGCCCTTGTGTAGTCAATCAAAAACAGATAGACATTCATCTAGTTCTCTCTGCTTTTAGCTGTGATATTTCTAACATTAGCTATAATATCCCTAGTTCCACAGTACCACAGCCTCTTCGAAACCCAGCCTGCACATCTGGCAGTTCTCTGTTGATGTATATGTTATGTTCAATCATTTTATCAGATTACTTTTTTGGGAGAACCATACAGATCTCTTCCTGTCAATTAGCCAGGTAGCTGTTTTCCAAATTTCTTATGACAGTCTGTGAAGTACATCCAGGACTGCATCTGTTTTCTAAACACCTTAGCTGATATTCCATCAATTCCTTATTTTTAGCCAGTATCTTCAGTGTAGGTTAAACTTCTTCCTTCATTACCACTGACTCATGATCATACTCACTTCCAGAAATGACTGTGTTCAATCCATTCCTTTTGTTACAGTATTGTTACCATGTGCCCAGTCAATAATAAAAGCTTAGAGTGTAATATCCAAATTACTACCATCCATAACTGATTATGACGATAATCTTGTTTTTGGCATGTAGGTGCCACATAAGTCCGTAGTATCCAGATTTCAAAGTCAAAGTCTGTTGGCCTTGACATTGCAAACTTACCAGTGTTGTTGTAGGTGCAGAAACAGCTGCTTTCAGACTACTCAGTTCCTGCTGGATTAATTTCTCTTCCTCCTAAAAAAGTAAAATATGTTTGAGTAATTATTATTTTAAAGTTTAACAGTATATCTGAAGGGAAAAGTTGAGTTTATAATCCTGTAAATTTTAAAAAATTACTAAAACAATTTCAAAAACTTTGTGCTTAATATCTGCGCAAAGGCATCTCTCTCCAATTCTCATAATCATCACTTGGAGTATACAGATTTGAAGGCTACTTGATCATTCCTCTTCACTCCATCACTGTCTCCTTAAAAGACTATCTAGTACAAAATGGTTATAGAAACTTAAGTGAACAGAGTTGAAAAGAATGTCCCCACCAGCTGCCTTTCCTTCATTTTTCATCACACTCATCTCTCTCACACGCACACACTCACACAAATACAAAGTGGTCACTTCAACTCTCTGCATTTCACTGTCTCTGTAAGCACTTGAAAAGGAGCCCTAGTGGCATGGTTCTGGGCTGCTAACTGAAAGTTCAAAAGTTCAAATCCATCCATGGATTAGAAGACTAAAGAAAGAGATTACACTCAGCCTCGTCCCATAAACAATATGTTGTTGTTAGATGCCATCAAGTCAAGTATGACTCATAGTGACCCTATGAACAAAAGATCTGAACCCTGTTCTATCGTGTGCCGTCCTAACACTTCCTGACACACAAGAGCCCACTGCAGCAGTCATCATGTCAATCTGCCTTACAGATGGTCTTCTCCTTCACCAGTCCTTCACCCTTCCTAACATCATGTCCTTCTCAAAGGAAAAGCTCCTCCTAGCAACAATGTGGGCCGAAACCTCATCATTCTCGCCTCCAAAGAGCACAGCTGTTGCTTACCTGTTCAATTCTTTTGGCCATCCATAGGATGTTCAGTACTCTTCTCCAACAGCACAGCTCAAAGGCATCAATTATTTTTCTGTCATCCTTATTCACTGTCCAGCTCTCAGATGCGTAGTAAGTGATCAGAAAGACGATGGCCTGAATTAGTGACATTTTTAGTCTTCAAACTGACATTGTTACTTCTCAACAATATGGCGAGGTTCCTAACTGTAGATTTTCCCAGTGCAATGAGTTTCGTTATTTCCTGACTGCTGGTACCAAGGGTGTTAATTTTGGATCCAAGCAAGATGAAGATGTTGACAGTTTCAATCTCCTCTCCATCCTTCATGACGCTGCCTTCATGTCCAGTGGTTAGAATCTTTGTTTTCTTGATATTGAGACGCAATCCATACTGAAGGCTGCACTCCTTGATCTTCTGCAACAAGAGCTCCAAGTCCTCCTCACTTACAGCAAGCAAAATTGTGTCACCTGCATAATGCAGGCTATTGAAGGGTCTCCCTCCAATCCTGACACCACACTCCTCTTCCTAGAGTCCAGCTTCTCAAATAATTTGCTCAGCAAACAGATTAAATAAGTATGGAAAGAGAACACAAACCTGACATACTCCCTTCTCAATTTTAAACCATGAAGTGTTCCCTTGCTTTATTCACACAACAGCCTCCTTCCTGGTCTAGGTATAGGTTCAGCATGAGCACAATCAAGTGCTCTGGGATTCTCATTCTTCTCATTATAAGCCACAACTTGTAGTCATGATCCACAATGTCAAATGCCTTTGTAAATTAAAACACAGTCAATAAAGCAAAAATATTCTTCTGGTATTCCTTACTTTCAGGCAGGATCCATTTGAATCAGCAATGATATCCCTGGTGCCACCGCCTCTTCTAAATCCTGCTTGAACGTCTGGAAATTCCCTGCGTATGTACTGTTCTAGCCATTTTTGAATGATCTTCAGTAGTATTTTGTTTGCATGCAACATTAATAATACTGTTAAGATAATTTCCACAGTCAGATCACCTTTCTTGAGAAGGAAAACAAATGTGGACCTCTTCTAATCCATGGCCAAAAAGCTGTCCTCCAAATTTCCTGGTATGTGAGTGCTAACATAAAGATTTGCAGACTTTCAGATAGGCAAAGAGATGGTTAAAATATTGTTATATGCAGATGATGTGACAGTGTACATAAAAAACTCCAAAGACTCAACAAAAAACCTGTTAGAGCTAGTAGCCAATTTAGTAGAGTGGCAGGATATAAGATCAAAATCCAAAAATCAGAGGGATTCCTCTACAGTAACAAAGATAACTCAGGGGATGAAACCAAAAAAGCAATACCATTTACAAGTCAACCACAAATTGAGATACTTGGGAATGAACCTAACTAGAGATACAAAAAACCTATACAAATAAAGCTACAGAACATTTCTGCAAAGCACAATGAAAGACCTAAAGACATGGAAAAAAATGTGTCCTCTTCATGGATAGGAAGACACAAGAGTGTGAAAATGACACTCCTACCAAAAGGAATCTACATATTCAATGCAATCGCAATCCAAATTCATTTTTCAAGGAGATCAAAAGGGAAATTGTCGGGGGGGAAAAAAAGGGAAATTGTCACGTTTATTTGGAGGCAAGAGATTCCGAATAAGCAAAACACTTCTGAGAAACAAAAATGAAGTGGGAGGTATAGCACTCTCTGATCTCAAAACCTACTATACAGCAGCAGTAACCAAAACAGCATGGTACTGGTACAATGACAGGCATATCGATCAGTGGAACAAAACTGAGAATCCAGAAACAGACCCAGATATGTATGGTCAACTGATACTAAACAAGGAAATAAAACTATCAAATGCGGAAATGACAACCTCTTCAACAAATGGTGCTGGCAAAACTGAACTGCTACCTGCAGAAAGCTGAAACAGAATCCACATCTCACACCATACATAAAAATCACCTCAAGGTGATTTACTTGGGAGTAAAGCCCAAAACCATAAAGATCATAAGAGATAAACTGGGACCAAGCTTACAAGCCCTAGACTATAGTATAAAGAGACTGTCAAATACAGCCAGACATGTACAATCTGAAGGGGGTAAAATTGATGAATGGGACCTTCTAAAGATTAAATAAATGCCTATGTTCATCAAAAACTTATCCCAACAGGGTGAAAAGAAAACCTACTGACTGGGAACAAATATTTGGCAATACCATCTCAGACAAGAGTCCTGGAATGAAATTGAATACTCCTGGGCCTCCACAAGAAAAAGACTGATAACCCAATTACAAAATGGGCAAAAGACATGGAAAGAATTTTCACAGAGGAAGATATTCAAATGGCCAACAGACATATAAAGAAATGCTCCAAATCACCTGCAATAAGAGAGATGCAAATCAAAACCACAATGAAATACCCTCTTAAGCCAGTAGCAGTGGCAAGGTTTAATAGGAGAACTAGTAATAAATGTTGGAGAGGATGTGGTAAGATAGGAACTCTTACACATTGTCGGTGGGATTGTACAATGGTACAACCACTCTGGAAGCAGTTTGGTGTATCCTCATAAAGCTGAGCATAGAAATTCCATATTACCCAGTTATTCCATTGCTTGGAATATACCCCAAGAAAATGAGAACTGAGGTTCAAATGCAAACTTGTACCAATGTTCATAGCAGCATTATTCACCAAAGCAAGAGCATGGAAACAGCCCAGATGTCCAACCACAAACAAATGGATTGAGAAGTTGTGGAATACACAATGGAATACAGCATACAGGAGCAACTACCTAATTTGGGAGGGACTGGAGAGCATTATGCTGAGTGTACTAACTCAGTCCTACAAGGACATTACTGTATAAAACTATTATTGTTGAATGAGTATGAGGATCAAAGGCAGGGGGAAGCGTAGAAATAGAGGGTGATGATGGGTGGTAGGTTGTTAATCTTAGGGTTGACAATTCAGTGGAAGGGTGGGTGAAGGAAATGGGAAGGATCTTTGTGAAAAACAACTTATTCAAACTTTGCAAATAAATCAGAATAAAGTAAAAAAAAAATAAAAATTATTTACAGCCTTGAAAAACCTAAGGGACAGTTCTACTCTGGTGTATATGGTTTCTTTAAATCAGAATCAACTCACAGGGTTTTAAACAATAAAAAAATGGCCCACTTTTTTTTGACTGACATAAAGATATCCTTAAGTTACATACACACAATAAGTCAGTGCTCACTAAGTGGCTAATCAACAACTATTGTTATTGTTGTCATTATGTGCTTGTTGAATTGCCTGCAACTCATAGCAACCCTATGTTCAACAACTCTGAAGCCTGCCCTGTCCTGATCCAGTCTCACTGACTCTGTCACACCTACCCACATTGCCCTAGCTACTGTCAATCCATCTCATCTGGGGTTGTCCTCTCCTGCACTGTACCTCCACCCTTCTAAGCATGATGTCCTTCTCCAAGGACTGGACCTTCCTGGCAATATGGCCAAAGTATGCGAAATGGAGTTTCAAAATCCTAGCCCCCACGCAGAAACTTGGTTTCACTTTCTCCAAGACAGACCCATTTATTTTCTTGGTGGTCCATGGTATGTTCAAGACTCTTCTCCAGCACAACTCAAAAACATCAATTCTCCTTCTGTCTTCTTTAGTCACCATCCAGCTCTCTGATGCACAGCAAGTAACTTCAAAGACCATCACCTGGATCAGGCACACCTTAGTCTCCAGACTGACATCGTTGCTTCTCAGTACTTTGGAGAGGTCCCTCCCTGAGAGCATGTTTTCCCAGCACAATCTGTCTTTTGATTTTCTGACTGTAATAACTATTAGTGAAGTAAGTTTACTCTTGAAGCCTTTATATATGGTTTCAAACTTAAAACCAAAAAAACAAAAAAAAACACTTGTTTTAATTTTTCTTCAGCACTTTGTAAAAATTATCAAATGATGCAATACTAACATAAGAAATACCAAATTTACAAATAATGAGATAATGAGTTTGGAGGATAAAGCAGATGCTCTCCAGAAAAGATTATCTTATTCTAGTTTAAAGAGACCATTTTAAACTTTTGAGCATATTGTTTTTCTTCTGACATTTTCATTGCAGTATCGTCACATGTATACTTGTTTTAAACCTAAGACAGATGATCAATTTCTTGGAAGAAGAAAATACACTTTTCTCTATTTTCACTTGTAGATAACATATTTCCTAAAAATCTGCTGAGTGCAGGTTTAGTGTCTCTATTCTACCTCCTAATTCAATACATATTGACAACCTCTTAAAAGCGTAAAACCTTCTAAAACATAACAAGTCTTTAATGACCTGGAGCAACAAAGGAAGAAAATCAGGAGGAGGAGGATATGGAATGTGTGGCTAATTATTTCCATGTCTCCTCTGCCATGAAACCAAACACCTAGCCACCATTTCTGAGCATTCTGAGCAAAGATTCTAAAACAGAACCCTGATCAAAAGGGGAAAACACAGCACAGAATTTAAAATTCTTATGAGAGTAGAAAGATTATTCCCTCAGGAAGGAGTCAGCTATTCTCAGGTTAACAGTGAGAACTAGTCAGCATGACCAGAATAAGACCAACACCTTGACTTGTAGGCACACAACCATCACCTAGATAACCTAGGAAAACAAAGATACAGTCTACGTCTTCTTTAGAAAAAATTCTCCTCAGCGTCCATACAGACAGGAAGATCTGGGAAGCTCAAATCCCTTGCCTCCTATATACTAGCATATAATAAAACTCAGTTTCCACCTGACATTTGTCTCTAAGACTGGCTTTCAGCAGCAGGTGGCAGATATGATGCTTAGCAGTAACATCCTCATGTCCAGAACAAAGACGAAAGAAAAGAAAAGCTGTATAGAAACAATTAGTCCAAAGGGCTAAAGGACCATGCAGACCAGTATTTCCAGGGTCATGAAAGCAGGAAAGCCAAACAGTACCCTGCTACCAATGCTGATCCCTCTAACTACAGGAAAGGACTTGGATAATGGGGGGAAACATGAAAATATTCTCTGTCTCTGTCTCTCTCTCACACACACACACACACACAGTCAGGCTAATTGGTATTAGAGAAATTGATGGAATCCCTGAGACTATGGCCCTTTGTCACCTTTTGAGCCTGGAACAAAACTCACCCCTTCCCCCACCTCAGCTTAACTTTCAGGCAAACAATTCATGTCTACAAGAGGAACACTACCAGGGAGGCACTCATTTCTTGGGATAATCAACAATATAAGGTCAAAAGAGTAGCATCTGCCAAACATTAAAGTCCAAAACGCAGGAAAGGGTAGGATAGGAGGATTAATGGAAATAGGAATTAAAGGGAAGAAGAGGGAAGTGTGTGATCACATTATGGGTATTATAATTAATTTTTCAATGCAAATGTGTATTGAACAAATTCACGGAAAACCAAAATGCTCTGTAAACATCTACTCAGATTACAACAAAAAACCTGAAAAGCAGAGTAGTAAATAGATACATATACACATACATATGGGTATACACATAAACACACACTCAACAAACCCAGACTCTGGTGGTATAGTCTGTATAATCCACCAGCCGTTCCTCAGGAGAAAGAAAGGCAGTCTACTGTTATGCAATTTATAGCCTTCAAAACCCACTGAAAGGTCAGCTATGAATTGGTTCTTACCAACTCAAGTTGCACTGTCAATTCAAAAGCTCATAGTGTAAATCGACCAGCTGCCCAGAGGACAAAGATGGGCCACTTTCTCCCACATGATTCACAACTTCTGAAAACCCATTGGAGGGTCACCTATGTGTCAGTTTCAACTCCACGGCACATAACAACAAACTCTGTGTGTGTGTGTGTGTGTGTGCGCGCGCGCGCGCGCGTGTCACACACACACATACAGAAAGACATAAAATGTATGTCTATGAGGGAGCTCTGGTTGATTAAAGGGTAAAGAGTTGTGTTACTAACCCAAAGACAGGCAGTTCAAATCCACCAGTCACTTTGTGGGAAAAAGATATACAATCGCCTCTCGTGCAATTTACGGCCTCTGAAAAGCTGCTAGAGGGTCAACTATAAGCTAGTTAAGACTCCACAGCACATAACAATATGTATATGTATAGGCATAGGTATATACATATGACATACACGGAGAGACTGACAGTTGACCACCAGGTTTTTGGAGGTTGTAAACTGCACAGGAGGAAACTCTGCGTATTCCTCTCAAGGATTCAAATCTCTTGCATTTGGGTTGTCAGCGCAACTCCTTAGTGGCTAAACCAGCAGCACTTCCTATACATACTTAGACACATTTTAATACACCCAAGATCACAGCGTTATGACCGGAAGTGGCCTTAGGGTAAATTTTAACTATGTTTTGTAATCTTCATTCTCCTCTTCCTTTTTCTGTCCAGGGTTATTTGGAAGCAACTTCTTCCATCCCTTTAGATTCCCAGAAGGAATGAATGTAAGATGATCAGTCATATTTAGTACTTGCTAACACTTTAAGTTTTTTATCTCTCATTGTATAACTTGTTCTATAGTATATGATGCAGCAGGAAGTCAGACTATACTTCTACAAACTCAGCTCCTCTTCACCAAAATAACTGCAGAGTCAAAACGGACTCAATGACAAGTGGTCATTGGCCAGAAAAAGTATTGGAAAGTAAGTAACAGACATCAAAACAATAATTTTTTAAAATTATCTGCTTTTAGGATATTTTTGTAATTTGCCTTCAATGACTGAAAAGCACAACTACTTCTATTATAACAAGAAAGTTGATACATTGTAACAAATACAAACTGTGTAGAAACTGTTAATTAGGAACCTAATTGGCTATGTAAACTTCACCAAGGACAGGATACAAAAACTTCCACTTCTTACAAGATTTTACTTATTTAAATGGGCAGGTAACAACTACTTATTAACATTATTGTGTTTACTTTGGGCATGTTGTTAGAAGGGGCCCCTCTTTCACAAAAGTCATCATGCTTTGAAAGGTGGAAGTTCAATGTAGGAAAGAAAGAATCCACAGAGTGACTTTTAATAGTGGCTCAAGTGTATTGGAAATAATGAGGATAGCATAGGATAGGGCAAGGTTCAGACCTGTTCATAGTGTCGCCATGAGTCATTGTGGAGTCTATAGTACAGAACAACAATATTGAGTTTACAGCTTCTGAAAACACACTGGAGGGCCAGGTGAGTCTGTTCTGACTGAGTTACAAAGCCTGTTTGAGGTAGAGACTTACTCAGCAAATTTTACATTTTGGGAAAACTGTTTTTTCTTTGTCCAAATTGTTGGTCTAACCTAAGAACTTCAAGCTGTCCCCAAAGATATTCAGCAGCAAGGTCAAGCAGCAGGGTCTGGGTGTGTGACATCCAGCAGCTCAAAGGACTGAGGGAGAAGCAGAGTCGAGAAGAGCAGGGGAAACTGTCTGGCATTTCATGGCATTTGTTAATTTTAAACACATGGCATCTCATCTAGTTTTCAAAACAATCTGTGAGTTATTTCTTTTACTTTTTTGTAAAAAGGTTGGGAAGCTCATCGAAGCTCACAGACATTAAAAGAATTTGCCTCAGATAACAAGTCAGCACCAAGTACTGGATTGCACACCCGGCCTCCCTGTTTTCTGTCAGATGGTTACAGCAGGAGTCCCGATCCCTGCTGGAGAACCAACTCTGGAGGTGCCAAAGGCCCAGGGGTCTCGCTGCCCGCCAAAGAGCCCCCGGCGCCGGGGCCTCGCCCGGAACCCCTGACCTCCCGGACCTGCGGGGCACCTACGTGCTTGGAGGTGAGGGCAGTGATGCCGCGGACGAGGCTACCCAGCCGCGAAGAGAAGGAGGTCTTGGCCGCCGCGGCGCCACCACCCAGCTGGTTCTGCAGGAAGAGCCCCGGCAGCGCCGTCAACGTCTTCTCCACTATGTCGCTCATCGCCGCCTTGGCCGCCGCCTGCACTCCCGTTGCCGCCCAGCCTCATGCCCGGCCCCGCCACAGACGCCGGCCCGGCCTCCGTAGGCACTTCCTGTTTGTTTGAAAAAGAAAACTTTATTCGCGTCCTGCACGAACAGGCTCACTGATGTTCTCAAACGTGGCCGCCAGAGGGCACAAGAGTCCGCAGAGAAAAAGTCACTCGTCCAAGCTGATTCGCACGCGTGGAATCCGAGATTCCCGATTTCCGTCGCAAGCCCAAAACCTGACAGTCCTTTGAATTCTCCCGAGGAAGCCGTTTAAAGCCCGTTCATTATCAGCCACTGCAGTCCTTGGGGCTGCACCGACAGGTACACTAAACTCCCTCCTTCGACCACTTCTCAGTCTTGCAACACCGTGGACACAATTCGCCCACTTCCCTTCGTCACTCTCTGTAAAATGGGTTCACCAGGGTGCCTGGCAGGTGCTCCTGGAGTTGCTGGGCCACGTGTTGCTAAATGAACCACACTACTTCTTAGAAAGCCCGCTGTGCACAAAGGTTCAAAGTAGCTACCAGACACCTGGCAGATAGCAGTCAGAGTTTAAACGTCCCTTTCCTGGGGCAGCCGTCTCTGGTCCGGTGGACAAGGTCTGTCCTTATCCTGTACACCCTATCTCTCTGTACTCGGTTCTTTTTTAGTTTATATCAAATCACAGCAGGCATGAAATGTTTATCTCCTCTAACATGCCCAGGAGCAACAGTGTCAATTTAAAGACTTAAGGTGCACCAGATTCAAGTCATGGTCTTTTCAATTACTTTCTATGATCAGAAAGTTAGACAGCGAATAAGGACGACAGAAAAAGAATCAATGCCTTTGAGTTGCGGTGTTGGAGAAGAGTACTGAATATCCCATGGATGGCCAAAAGAACAGATATGTCTTGAAGGGAAAAAAATGCAACCAGAGTGCTCCATAGAGGCAAGGATAGTAAGGCTTTATCTCATATACTTTGGACACATCGCCAGTCCTTGAATGGGACAACATGCTTGGAAATATAGAAGGCGAGTGAAGGAGAGGAAGACCCTCAATCAGATGGATCAACACAGTGACTGTAGCACTGGGCTACAGTGTTTATCACAGTAGTTTATAAACTACTGAGTTTATCAAGGATGATGAAGAAGGCACAGGATAGGATAAGGTTCATTGTTCACAGGGTTGCTATGAGTAATGAGCAGACTCAAGGGCGCCTAACAACAGTGACTCCCACAGCTATGCCATATGCCTTATTTACAGTATTAGCCAACTATCTAAATCCCTTTGGTGGGCCACAATCACTTCATATTTGCATGTTGTTGTTAAGTGTCATTGAGTCGTAGGACTCATAGGGACCCTATGAAGGAGAGTTCTCAACACTTGTGTGACTTTCATCCTCTCTATTACGGAAGTGGATGCCACTCCTCCTTCCATGCTTGTTTTAATCGGGGAGCTCCACCAAACACTGTCCACCATGGGTAACTGTTAACGCATTTGACACATCAGTGTCACAGTGTTCGGCTTCACAACAACCACAAGTTACCTCTGTATGGCAAGTGGACACATCAGGGCTATACAACCTAGAAGATTGTTTGATCAAGTTCTATCCAAGCATGCTGTTTCCTTTTTTTTTTTTTTTTTTAACTAATCACATAGTGAAAATCCCAAAGAAAGGTTGTTGTTAGCTACTATCAGGTTGAGTACAATGCATAATGATTCTATGAGCAACAGACCTGAACCCTGTCCTATCCTGTGCCATCCTCACCATCTCTGACACACTTGAGCCCATTGCTGCAGTCACTGTGTCAATCCACCTAATTGAGGACCTTCTACTCTTTCACCAAGACTCCACCTCTCCAAGCATGAAGTCCATGAGATAAAGTTTTATCACCTTTCACCTTCTCCAAGATGTACCTGTTCCTTTGGCAGTGCATCAGATATTCAGTACACAGTTCCAACACCACAGCTCAAAGGCATCAGTTCTTCTCCAGTCATCCTTATTCGTTTTCCAGTTCAAAAGCATAGCAAGTGATTGAAAAGACTATGGCCTGAATGAGGTGGACCTTTGTCCTCAAACTGACATCATTACTCCTCATTAATTTGGACAGGTCCCTGACTGCAGACTTTCCTAGTACAATACCTCTCTTGACTGCTAGCTAGTACCTGAGGTGTTGTTTGTGGATCCAAATAAGATGAAGTTGTTGACAGTTTCAATCTTTCCCCATTTATCACAATGTTGCCTGTTGATTCAGTGGGGAGAATTTGGGGGTGGGGGTTGAAGTTAAGATCCAATTCATATTGAATACTATTGAATACTGTCTTCTTTGATCTTCTGCAACAAGCACTTCAAGTCCTCCTCACTTTCAGTAAGATTGTGTCATTTGCGTAAAGTAGGTTATTCATCAGTCTTCCTCTGATCCTTCTGCCACATCCTTTTTCATAGAATCTATCTTCTTGAATAAGAACCAGGTAAAGTCATCCACTTCACCTCAGACACGCACAGAAAACTAACACAAACCCCATAGCAGCATATGGAGTGCAGAATTAGACTTGATTTCATAGACATTTGCAACATTTTAAAACAATGCCGTTGTTCCTTGCTAATTTTTTAAATAGCTATTTCTCATCTTTTTTAAAAACCAAATTAACATATAATAGTTTCGCTGTTATTATTTTCAAGCTAATATTATTTTCAGGTTCATTAGTAAATATTTTTCTATTATTTTCTAGTCCAATCAGTATCTGTAGATATAAACAACCTAAACAAAAGCTCTTTTGAGTCCTCAGTAACTTCCAGGAGTGTAACCAGATTTGGAAACTAAAGTTTAAGAGATATTTATCTAGTATATAGTAATAGACGCTCAACTGTTATTGAAGAGATTATATGAATCACTCAATCACATCAATCACTACATGAGTAAAAACAAAAAAAAATTTTTTTAAAGTTAGAATTAGGATGGATGTTGCAAGGAAAGAAGACAGAAATCTTGAAAAAGAAAGACTTTGGGGTGGGGGGACTGACCAGATTATGAATAGGAAATTGTCACAACATCCAGAGCTTTCTAACCTACGGCTCCAGCACTATTCCGCCTTCCTTTAGCCCCTACCTCTTAGCAGTGAGCACTGAAAATAGAGCAAAGAGAGCTATGTCAAAAGCCTGGTGGTTCTGGGGGTAAGAAAGCTGCTGAGACTGAGTTGTAGAATGCTGGGGTGGGAAAATTATTTGGACGTCAGCCACAAATCCAATCAACTCACACAAAAGCAAAGAAAACTAAGACCTGACTGTGGAAGCCACTTGGCCAAAGTCACACGACTTCAGGCAAAGACCTAAAATTGTCGCCCTAAGTCTAAACTTGGAGCCTGGAACATTTCCCCCATACTTTCACGGCGCTAAGAGTGAGGCTGTGGCTTCCTATTCTGAGACTCTACTTCTGTGTCCTGCCTTAAAATGAAGGGGCTGTACATTCTCTCTTCTAAGCTTGCAATTTTGGACCTTCCCTCCCCCCTTATAAATATACACTCTTCTTCCTTCTCTTCCCATCTCCAACGTCATCCCAGGTAATTTCACTCTTAATGGCATACTATCATAAGGATTAAGCCCTGAGTTTCCTTTTGACTCTTCCAGTCAGGAAGGGAGGTGGCTGTCATCAAGCTGGACACTTGTCAAGAAGTGACATAAAGTTTTGAGAAGGTGCAGTGGTCTCAGGATGGCAGGGATACAAACTAATATATTGTTCACGAGAATATCGCAAGTTTGTCAAGAAGGGCTGTCTCATTTGGGAATATATAGGAACTGGTAATGTGATGTTGTTAGGTGTCATCGAGTCAATATCTACTATTAGTAATCTCATACAGTAGATTAGAATGCCCACAGAGTTTTCTAAGCTGTAATTTTTATATGGGCAGATTGATAAGTCTTTCTCTGTAGACTTGAATCCTGTGGGAGGATTCAAACCACCAACTTTTAAGTTGGTAGCCTAGCACTTAACTTGTTTTATCAGGGCTTCTTACAGAATCCAAACCAAACCCACTACCCTCTAGTTGAGTACAGCCCAAAGCATCTCTATTCAACAAAGCAGAATTTCCTTATACTATTTCCAAGGTTATAAATTCTTGACAGACTTGAACAGTGGCATCTTTCTTTCTTGTGGATTTGACCTGCTTACCTGTTTAGTTCCAAGCCATGGTCTTTGCAATTATTTGCTATGCATCAGAAAGCTGGATAATGACTAGGGATGACAGAAAGAGAATTGATGCCTTTGAGGTGTGGTGCTGGAGAAGAGTATTGAATATACCATGGACTGCAAAGAAAATGAACAGGTTCAGCCTGGAGAGGGTGAAACTAGGCTGCTCCTTGGAGGCAAGGATTCTGAAGCTTCATCTGACATACTTTGGGCATGTTACAAGGAGGGACCAGTCCTTGGAGAGGGACATCATGCTTGGGAAGGTGGAAGACAGTGCAAGAGAAGAACCTCGATGAGATGAATTGATTCAATTACTGGGGTAATGGGGGTAGATGTGTCAGAGACAATAAGATTGATACAGGATAGATCAAGGTTTAGGGCTGTTGTACAAAGGGTCACTATGAGTTGCAGGCGACTCGATGGCACATAACAACAAACAACAACCTGTTCAGTTGTTTAACAAGCAGCACCATCAATGTTCCTTATAGATACTATAAAAGTATGTTTTATAATGCTTTCCTTCAGTGTCTTTCCTCAACTGCCTTGTGTAAAAATGTTTACTTCTTTAGAATAAGTGCTGCATTTATGTTAAAATTTCTAAATATGTAAAAATTACCCCGAGAAAAGTCTTCCTCTGTTTTCATCAACCATTCATCCACTTCCCTTCTCTAGAATTATCTGCTGTGATCTATTTTTCTGAAATATTTTGTACATAAATACAGATCTTATTTTGAAAGGTCTATATTGCATTCCCATAGCTACAGAGAATACAATTCACTTGTTTCCAAGATTCCTCTCTAGGGAGTCG